TTGCAGGGCTTTAGTCCAGCACAAAGGATGGGTGCACAACTCTGGTCCTGGAGGGCCAGTGTCCAGCACAGTTTGGAGGTTTCCCAGCTCAAACATACCCACTTAACCTGGCAATTAAGAGATAAGTGTAATCAGGTGTGTTGGAGAAGGTAAATCACCAAACTGTGCTGGACACCAGCCCTCCAGGACCTGAGTTGTGCACCCCTGAACTTAGCAGTTAATAACCATGTGTAGTTGAAAGGTTAGAGCAGGTGATTGGTCAAAATCCAGCTCCCTATTACCAGAAAGGCTCGTTTATACTCACTTCATGTACAAAAAAAAGAACATGTCCGTTTCAAGCAACGTAACCGTCACTGCCCACATACTTCCATGTGTCCTTTACATTGGCATGGAGGTTAAGCAATACATCCACTAGAGGGCAGTCCAGAGTAAAAGGTTTCTGACAACAACAAACAAAGAATTCTTACTTATATTACCGATGAGAGACATTTGTATTGTGAACTATTAGCTACACTGCCCCCACGGATTCTGGTGGTACCGCTCCGTTCCGTTCGTATCCGTAAGCGTTCAGAGAACATGAACAAATATGGACAAAATGAATGCAGAGTACGGACAAAAGGCTCCATCTGTATCCGTATTTAACGTTGAGCATAAATGAGCCTTAATCATCCCTGGAGTAACCTACATTTCCTGTGTTTTCTGCCTCTCTGTGTAGGGGAGAGTAGGTCCTGCAGGGTTACCCGGTCCGCCAGGGAGACCAGGACAAGATGGCACCCCAGGGCAGAACGGTGAAATGGGCCAGCCAGGACCCAAAGCGGAAGATGTATGTCCTCAGCATCTTATTTTCACTAGGGCTGTCAAAGTCACTTTAAAAATTCTGTTTTTTTTTTGAAACTGTAAACACATTTTCCTAGTTTGATCTTTCCACTTCTGTAGAAGTGCAAGCTAAAGCCAAGCTGCAGTGTGCTGTATGATGCTCTGATAGAGTCTGTAATTGTAGTGCTCTTCTTTAAATACAGCTTGTAAATGATTTTTAAAGTGATACCTTTAGCATCTTTGGCATACTACACTCGTGGGAAGACAATGGATAAATCAACAAGCAGCTAACTAACAAAACCAGCAGCTTGATATATCCAGTTCCCCTTGAAAGCCTCCACTATAACAAGAATCCATGAGCTGTATGAATATGAGTAAGAGACTACAATCCACAGTCAATCAGGAATCGACTGTATATGTGTTACATATGATATACACTATATGGACAAAGGTATTGGGGCACTCCCTTCTGATTATTGAGTTCAGGTGCCTCAGCCACACCCATTGCTAACAGGTGGATAAAATTAAACACATAGCCTTGAAGTCTCAATAGACAAACGCTGACACTTCATCAAAATGCACAATGCCAAGCGTCGGCTGGACTGGTGTAAATCGCTGCCACTGGACTCTGGAGCAGTGGAAACGTATTCTGTGGGGTGATGAATCAGCTTCTCTACCTGTCAGTCTGATGGACGAGTCTGGGTTTGGAGAACGTTACCTGCCTGACTGCACTGTGCCAGCTGTAGAGTTTGGTGGAGGAGGGATGATGATATGGGGCTGTTTTTCAGGGGTTGGTCTAGAACCCTCAGTTCCAGTGAAGGGAAACCTTAATGCTTCAGCACCAAGACATTTTGGACAAATGTACACTTCCAACTTTGTGGGAACAGTTTGGGGAAGAACCTTTCCTGTTCCAGCATGACTGAGACCCCAGTGCACAAAGCAGCTCCATAAAGGCCTGACTGGGTGAGTTTGGTGTAGAAGAACTTGACTGGCCCTCACAGAGCCCTGACCTCAACCCCATCCCACACCTTTCGGAAGAACTAGAATGGAGATTGTGAGCCAGACCCTCTCGTCCAACATCAATGTCTGAACTCACAGATGCTCTTCTGGATGAATGGGCAGAAATTCCCACAGACTCTCTCCAACATCTTGTAGAAGCTTCCCAGAAGAGCGGAAGCTGTTACAGCTGCAAAGGGGGACCAACTCCATATTAATGCCCATGGATTTAGAATGGGATTCATAAAAGCTCCTATTGGTGTAAAGTGTAGGTGTCCCAATACTTTTGTTCGTAAAGTGTATACAGTCAATGACTGTATATATTTGTGCAGCCACTGTTGCTCTCACTGGATGTTGGCGATAAAAATTGTGTTCACACAATAAAAATAATATTTTTGGATTACTCAAAGGAATAAATGCATTCTGATGAAGCGTATTTTGTCATATAGCTATAACAAAATACACTGCTTTTTAAATGGGCTTCATTTTTACACATATGAGAATACAAAAGGCTTAGATCTAACTAAAATGCAACACTCTGAGATCTAGGGGCGCAACTGTCTGACATTTGTGTCTATGTACGCATTCCTACAGGGCCCACAGGGATACAGAGGAGAGCAGGGCGGCAAAGGGGAGCTGGGTGAGTGGGTAAGAAAGACCAGGGTTTCTTTATGAATCAGAGTAAGGAGAACAGACAGTCTGTGTGTAAATGGGTCTTTGTGTGCATGTAATTGAGGGCTAAGGAATGGGTGCTTTCCTTCTGGAAGAAGATCAAAAAGCTGTTCTATACAAAATTCTTCAAAAAAGTATCTATTGCTCTCAGGGTTATGCTGGAGATGCAGGACCTCAAGGAGACAAAGGCAGGAAAGGAGAGAAGGTAGCCTTAATCTTGTTCATGTTCACCGTAACTGCAGTGCAAAGAAGTCCTGGTGCAATTTGCTTCCGATTTAACACTTGTGTTTTTTTCTTGTAGGGAAACAAAGGACATATTGGCCTGATTGGAATGACTGGGTTTATTGTATGTGTCTGTTGACAGCGCTTATACGTTCTTTTGCATGAGATTATCTCCCTTGGGTCCAGTCTTATCTACAAAGTGCCAGTGTAGCTACAGGTTTTCGTTCCAGTCAAGCTGGAGCACCCTTGATTCCTCTTCCTTAGTCAGTGCGTCTCTGTCTTGAAACAGCTGCCCTTTGTGGTTAAAACTGACCCCTATGATAACCTAAGTACTGCTGTGACCTACCAGGTCTGGAGTGCTTTACAGTACACATCGATCAGGCGTAACATTCTGACCACCTCCTTGTTTCTACGCTCATTGTCCATTTTATCAGCTCCACTTACTATATAGGTGCACTTTGTAGTTCTACAGTTACAGACTGTAGTCCATCTGTTTCTCTGCATACTTTGTTAGCCCCCTTTTACCCTGTTCTTCAGTGGTCAGGACCCCCATGGACCCTCACAGAACAGGTACTATTTGGGTGGTGGATCATTCTCAGCACTGCAGCAACACTGACGTGGTGGTGGTGTGTTAGTGTGTGTTGTGCTGGTATGAGTGGATCAGACACAGCAGTGCTGCTGGAGTTTTTAAACAGTGTCCACTCACTGTCCACTCTATTAGACACTCCTACCTTGTCGGTCCACCTTGTAGATGTGAAGTCAGAGACGATAGCTCATCTGCTGCTGCACAGTTTGTGTTGGTCATCCTCTAGTCCTTCATCAGTGGTCACAGGACGCTGCCCACAGGACGCTGTTGGCTGGATATTTTTGGTTGGTGGACTATTCTCAGTCCAGCAGTGACACTGAGGTGTTTAAAACTCCAGACAGCACTGCTGTGTCTGATCCACTCAGACCAGCACAACACACACTAACACACCACCACCACGTCAGTGTTGCTGCAGTGCTGAGAATGATCCACCACCCAAATAGTACCTGCTCTGTGAGGGTCCATGGGGGTCCTGACCACTGAAGAACAGGGTAAAAGGGAGCTAACAAAGTATCAGAGAAACAGATGGACTACAGTCTGTAACTGTAGAACTACAAAGTGCACCTATATAGTAAGTGGAGCTGATAAAATGGACAATGAGCGTAGAAACAAGGAGGTGGTCATAATGTTATGCCTGATCGGTGTATGTGCTAGAGTTCTGTTGATGATCTATTAAAATACATTTTGTTGGATTTGTTAGATTTCTGAATTGTGTGTGTATACACTAAATGTCCAAAAGTTTGTAGACACCTGGCCATCCAGTGTTTCATCTGAAATCAAGGGTATTAATAGGGTGTTTGACCCCAGCAATAAAAACCTCTACTCTTGACACTAGATGCTGGAACATTGCTGTGAGAATTTGAATTCAGTGAGGTCAGGTACTGATGTTAGATGATTAATTTTGGATCACAAACACAGCTCATCCCAAAGGTATTGGATGGAGCTCCAGCACTCCACAGAATGCAGTTCCACTGCTCCACGACCCAGTGCTGGGGGCTATATACCCAATCATTGCATTGGGCATGGTAACCTTAGGCTCAAGTGCGCCTGCTTTAAAGCATCTCATTCTACTGATCAGTGGATTCTATGAAGTTATATGAGCCGAATGTGTGCAATTGAGATCCTGTGCCAGGAACAGAAGCATCTTTAAGTAGCTGAGTAGCTGAAGGATTGTCTACATACTTTTTGACACAGTGCTTGAAGATAAAGATATCACACAGAATTTGCTTCAAAGTTAGAAAGATTTTATTAATTGTTTCTTTAGCTAAAAAATTTTTGCATTCATGTAGGGACCGCCTGGACCTAGAGGACAGCGAGGGTTCATGGGACCACCTGGCTTTCCTGTATGTTACCTTTTATCTGTCTCTCTGAAACATAGTGATTAAAACTGTTTTTCATTTCTACAATAAAAGCTGATGTGTTCCTCAGGGAGAGCCAGGAGGGCCAGGGTTTGCAGGACCTCCAGGTCCAACAGTATGTTACAAACACACAGATGGAATCATATTTCTATTTTGCTATACATGTAAGGAATTTAACATTTGACCTTGGCTTACAGGGGCGTGCAGGACCTAGAGGGGCAAAAGGAGTGACTGGTGTCAAAGGACCCCCAGTAAGAGCTCTCAAAGATTATTCCTACTCATACATTACTATACGTTTCTTACTGTAAGTTATGGCAGTAAAGCTTTTTCTCTCTACAGGGGCAGCCGGGTGAGAGTGGAACGAGAGGACCGACTGGCCAACAGGTGAATATCACAAACAGAGGATGTTGTTGGGACGTGATTAACTGTCATCTTGTCATAATGTTTCCTAACTATGTAGTACTATCGTAGGACCCGTGACTTCTGTGCATTACACAGTGTTATGGTTTATCTGTGATCTGTATTGACGTGTCATGTGGTTTGATGTTAGCTTCAGCCTTGTTACGTACCACTCGGCTCCACAACCACAGACACCCAGACTGAGGGCCGTCATTATTATTTCTTGTTACTCATCCAGATTCACCAAGCTGTCCAACCTCAGCAGTCTACCAAGCTCCATCTGTGTAGGCTCGACACCCCACATTCTTAAGACCTCTAGCTTCTACACATCTTTACTGTACCTTTGGCCGGTCTGTGGAACAAAGCCCAGAATTTTCAGAAGGACAGAAATGTAACTCACCTCATTTTGGGCTGTTAACTTACTCAACACAGCAAAACTTGAATGTACTGCCACACAACTTAACCAAGCTAAGCCCATGACTGGTGAAACATGGCAAACTTTTGTGTTACGTATTTTGGATTTCCTGCAAGGTATACATTGAATATGGACACTTCCTCCTTTATTTAATTTTGCCTGTGATGATGACCCCCCTGTCATTCAGCCATCTATTCAACCTGCCCTGAAGATCTGTGAGAAAGATGTGCATTGACTCTTCAGGAAACAAAAAGTGAGGAAAGCACTAGGACTAGATGGTGTATCACCCTCCTGTCTGAGGGCCTGCGCTGACCAGCTCGCACCTGTATTCACATCGATCTTCAATAAATCACTGGAGCTGTGTGTCAGACCTTCCTGCTTCAAATGCTCCACCATAATACCAGTTCCCAAGAAAGCAACCATCACAGGACTGAACAACTACAGACCCGTTGCTTTGACCTCTGTAGTCGTGAAATCCTTTGAGAGACTGGTGCTCACCCATCTGAAGAACATCACAGATCGTCTGCTAGACACTCTGCAGTTTGCATACCGGGCAAACGGGTCGGTGGATGACGCAGTGAACATGGGACATCTTATCCCTCAACAGCTTGAACATCCAAGAACTTATGCAAAATTTCTGTTCTTGGACTTCAGTTCAGCCTTTAATATGATCATCCCAGGACACCTACACAACAAACTGATCCAACTCGGCGTGCCAACCGCCACCTGCCAGCAGATCACCAACTTCCTTACTGGCAGAGAGCAGCAGGTGAGGTTAGGAAAGTTCACCTCAAACATCCAGATCATCAGTACAGGCGATCCACAGGGTTGTGTTCTCTCACTATTGCTCTTCTCACAGTCATTGGTCTCATCCGAGACAGTGACGAGTCTGCTTACAGACGGGTGGTTGACCAGGTGGTCCTTTGGAACAACCTGGTGCTGAATACAGTGAAAACAGTGAAGATGATAGTAGACCTCAGTAGATGACAGGAGCCCTCCAACCCTACCAGCACTCACCATCCTGGACAGAACTGTGGAGTCCTGCAAGTTCCTGGGCACAACAATCACCAGGGACCTGAAGTGGGACAGTAACATCAGGGACATCATCAAGAGAGCTCAGTAGAGGATGTACTTCCTGCATCAGCTGAGGAAGTTCAACCTGCCCCAGGAGCTGATGGTGCAGTTCTACACAGCCAGCATAGATATACATAGACATACATCACCGCATCCATCACAGTGTGGGGCAGCTCAGCCACCAAGCATGACCTCCACAGACTGCAGTGCATCATCAGGTCTGCAGAGAGGACAACTGGGGTTAAGATGCCCACATTGCTGGAACTGCATGCCTCCAGAACCAGGAAGCATGCAGAGAAGATCTCTAGATAGATAGATAGATGGATGGATGGATGGATAGATGGATAGACAGACAGACAGACAGATTTTTTTTTGTGATCCTGGAGGAAAAGTAGCACTCACACAACAAAGGGCAGTTATAATAATAAGGGTGATACAATATATACAAAAACACCTATCTGCAGGCATATACACAAATAGAAATATACAAAAATATGCAATTATAATTATTATTCAAATACTGAATAAATTGTCATTATATTACTGAATAAAAGTGTGAGAAAGTACAATATGTTGTTTACCATCCTGTGAAACAATAAAAATTCTTGATCACCAAAAAAAAGAAATTGAACTCACCTGTGCAACATTAGAGAGAAGTTATTCTTACTGTGTCTTCTTCCACCTCCATTTTGATCCAATAATGTCACCCAATCTACCAAAGTCCCTAACCATTCTGTGCCCTTTGTTTCTCAACTTGCATTCTAAAGCCACTTTTCCACCACACGATACCGACTCGACTTGACTAGACTCTACTCGCCTTTTTTGGATTTCCATTAGGCAAATCTGGTACATGGTACCTGGCGAAATTTTTGGTGTCACCCCCGTCGAATGGGGATTTGAATGGAAAGGCTTCTCCACCTCATTTACTGTGGCAACTCAGTAGCCATCCAGATTGTCAATAAGGACACTTCAAAAGGCCAATGCCCTCAAATCCTATCAAATTACCTATCATCACATCCCTCACAAACTTCTGATATTCTGTTCATTTCCTTATTGTGCCACCTCCAGCTCAAACACCCAAGTGTTCTGCCCTCTCACCCTTCTTTTTCTTCTGCTTCCAAGCTCATTGGGTATGGTCTTCTCAGGTATAGCACTCATACATCTGGACACTAATAATTACCCCATGGGGACCATAAAGTAACAACTACTGGTTGTGAAGGGAAACCAAAATTCAATCAAGAGCATATTGAAGATGCTTTTTAATACCTAATGTAAATGTGCAGGAGATGTTTCGATGACCAGGTATAAATATGCCCTGATTAAAGTTGGTGTGTTACAGGGGGAACCAGGTCCTGACGGCATTGCTGGCTTTCCTGGAGATCGTGGCCTGCAGGTATTTTGTGTATTCCTCAACTGCAGAGTAAATTCTAGTTTCACCCATGTTAATTAACCCTGCCACCCTGGACTATATGCTTTGGTTGTGTATGTCTGGAAAGATAACGCTGTTTTATGTTTACTATATCAGTAGGTAGAGAAGCTAAATAATAACTTCTTAATTATTTTTTTGTTTGTTTGTTTTAGGGGAAACCAGGGAAAGATGGGCCACCAGGTCCCAAAGGAGATGATGTACGTGCTTTTGCTTGATACTGATTCTAAAGTATAGCTACAGCAGTTTTGTCAAAAAATGAGCTCTACTGTTGCACCTGTTATCAAAACCATTGTCCTGAATCAAACCATTCAGATGATGTCTTCTGGTCTTCTCAGACTCGTTGTATCTCATTTTAACAGGGAGAAAGTGGAATTGAAGGGGAAATAGGGGAGCCTGGTCTACCAGGACCTGCAGTAAGTCTGTACTGCATTGGTCCTCAAGAGGGGTTTACATATAGATTGTATTTTTCAAATGTCTTTATGAAATCGCAGAGTCTTGCAAAGTTGTTTGAATGTTATTTTAGGGTACCACTGGAAAGCCAGGAAAACCTGGACCCTCAGGTGATCCAGTAAGATTACCTAAACTAGTCCCTTTAAATTTTACTTATGCATGTTTAGTTTAGCTTATAGGAAAATGTGGTTTCTTATTAAAACAATTATGCTGTCTTTCTGTTCCTGTGTCCCTGCTTCTAATTATTTTGTTCAGGGTATTAAAGCAGAACAAGGCGAGAAAGGTGATCCCGGTCCCAAAGGAGATCAAGTGAGTTTTTGAGGCTATTTCTGAAGAATCATTCTAAACCTTCCACCTAAAATTACTTTTTATAGATACAAAGCAAAGAGGAAAGTAAGCCTACTGCCTGTGTAATTCAGAAAGAATCTAGATGTCATCATTGGAGGCTTGTCTCTGTGTTTTACAAGGGTCCTCTTGGTCCTCCTGGTAAACGTGGATTTAGAGGTCGAGGGGGTCATTCTGGTGTTCAAGGAGAAAAGGGCCCAAGTGGACCTGCTGGGCCACCAGGACCTCAGGTCAGCTTAGCTTGCTCATTCTTTAGTTTGTTACTTTGCTTAAAACGAGCCTCCTAGAAGCCACTGTAATCATGTTTATTTCTGTAGGGCTTGGAAGGAAGCACTGGAGAGCAGGGGAAACAAGGCAAGGATGGACTAAAGGTAATAAAAGTGCTCTAGGGCATGGGTTCACAACTCCCACTATGCTGGATAGTTGAAACATCTCCCTGGCCCAGCACACCAGATCCAGTTCATGAAAATGTGATAATCAATGATTAGAGGTATTTTGGGCAGGGGATAGTTAAAACTGTGGGTCCCCAGGACTGTAGTTGAGAACCACTGCTCTAGAGAAAGCTTACTAGTCACATACAAATGTCTAGAAAACATTTTCTGGAGCAATAATCCCACTGTCTTCAGGGAGATCGAGGCCCTCTTGGTATACCTGGAGTTCCTGGACCTAAAGGTGACAAGGTACACAAGAAGAAAACTACTTGTTTGCTGATGTTTCAACAGACTATATTTGGAGGCATCCCTTAAAATAATATTAGACAAGACACAGAAACTGCATAGCTTGTTGTAAAATATTGATAATGTCAAGACTTTTTCTTGAATTCAAAAGGGTCGCACTGGACAAAGTGGATTCTCTGGTTTTCCAGGACCTTTGGTAAGATGTCGGTTGTAATGAAATACTGACTGCAGTCAAGATAATTGATATTTCTAGTAATGGTTCTCATGCTCATTGTAGGGGCCAATGGGAAAACCAGGAGAGCGAGGACCCGAAGGAGATCCTGGTATTAAGGTTCCCGTGTACATAAGAATTCTAATTTTGTTGTTAAAAGCATTTTAGACAGCTCCAAAAGCTTGATGTGACATTTTATTTATGTTTTTAATTCCTCAAATGCTCTTTTGGAATTTTGAACTCATTGTTATATGATTGTACAAGCACTAATAATTTTCGAAGTATGTGGCATTTTTGGGTTTGTTTAAAATGTCCTAGTTTGGGTTTGCAGGGTGGTCCAGGGCTCCCAGGAGTAGCTGGATCTAAAGGCCTGAAGGTATAGTACTGTACCTTATATGGTTTGGGTTTTCTATTTGATTTTTTTTATTACAGAATCTTAAAGGTATATTCTTTCATTGCTAGTATGCTCCAGTGAAGTATGCTGCAGTGAATGAAGCAGCTTTGATCATGTGGCATTGTGCCATGGCCAGGGACATCACAACATCTAAAGCAGTCAACCAGTAACAGGGACATCATAACCCCTAACACCCTCATCCAACAGAAGGACATCCTAAGCCCCAACCCAGCCCACCAGCACAAGGGACATCTTACCCAAAATGGTCATCTAAAAACGGGGACATCCTAACCCAATTCTCCAGCTTGCCAAACTCCATCCCAGTTTTTCAGCAGCAAGGACATTTTAAACCCAACCCAGTCTTCCAACAGTAGGGACATTCAAATTCCCAACATATTTGTCAAACAGCAGGGATTTCCTAACCCCTAGCCTGATTGTCCAATAGCAGGGATTTCCTAACCCCTAGCCTGATCGTCCAACAGCAAGGGATTTCCTATCTCTAACCTGATCATCCAACAGCAGGGACATTGTAACCTTTATCCTAGTTCTCCAGCAGCAGGAGCATATCCTAACACCACACTCAGTCCTCCAGCAGTAAGGACATCCAAACTTCCAACCTAATCCTCCAGTAGTAGGACCATCCTAACCTCCAACACAGTTGTTCAACAGCATGAACATCCTAACTCCCAACCCAGTCCTCCGATAACAGAGACACCTTAGCCTCTATTTAAGTCTTCCAGCAGAAGGGCATTGTAACCCCTATCCCAGTGCTCCAGTAGCAGGGACATCATAACCCCTAAACCCCTTACCCAACAGCAGGGACATCCTAAGCACTAATCCAGTCATCCAACAGTAAAGACATGCTAACCCGAACCTCCTCATCCAACAGCAGTGATATCCTAACCCACAACCCAGCCCTCCAGCACAAGGGACATCCCAACCCAAACTGGTCATCTAATAGCAGGGAAATCCTAACCCAATGCTTCATCTTGCTAATCTCCTTCCCAATTTTTCAGCAGAAAGGACATTTTAAGCCCCAGCCCAGTTATCCAACATTGGGGATGTTCAAACTCCCTACACATTTGTCAAACAGCAGGGATTTCCTAATCCCTAACCTGGTCATCCAACAGCAGGGATTTCCTAACTCCCTAAACTGGTCACCCAACAGCAGGGACATTGTAACCTTTACCCCAGTTCTCTAGCAGCAGGGGCATCCTAATACCCCATTGAGTCATCCAACAGCTTTCAGCAGCAAGGACATCCAAACTCCCAACCCAATCCTCCAGCAGTACGGCCATTCTAACCCCCAACCCAGTTGTCCAACAGCAAGGACATCCTAACTCCCAACCCAGTCCTCCAGTAACAGGGACATCTTAACCCCCATTCCAGTCTTCCAGCATAGGGACATTGTAACCTCTATGCCAGTCCTCCAACAGTAAGGACATCCTAACCCCTAACCAAGTAACCCCCAGCCCAGTCTACAGCAGCAGGGACATTCTAACCCCCAGCCCAGTCTCCAACACCAGGGACATTTTAACCCTTACCTCAGTCCTCCAGCAGCAGGGAAATTCTCATCCAGTTCCCAAGCAGTGGGGGCATCCTAGCCCCTGATACATTCCTCCAACTGCAGTGAGATCCTAACCCCCAACCTAGTCCACTTGCAGCAGGGACATTCTTACCCTCAACCTGGTTGTCCTATAGCAAAGACATCTTAACCCCTGATAGAATAGGATGCTAAAATCACCAATGTGAAACACTGGCCACAGGGATATAAACCTCCCTAGCATTGTGTAAGCGTTGGCTCCGGGGCTAGGCCACCGCTGGCCACCAGGGGGAGTCAACGACCCAATCCAGCCAAATGAGCCACACCTGCTCAGGGGGCTTTATAAGGGCTGGGAAGAAGACACACTTTGCTGAGTCTTTGTTTCACAGTTCTGGCAAACAGACCAGCCGGTAATTTCAGGTAGAAGCTCTAGAGAATTCCTCTCGAGCTTCTTTCTCTCTGTCACTTCTCGAGCCTATCCTCTTTCTCGAGTTGTGTCTTTCTTCCTAAAAAAAAAAAACGTAAAGCAAGAGAAGGAACAGGTTTGTCCCTTTCTCCTCTTTGTTCTCCTTTGGGCATTCTCTTCTGTTGGGAAAGCAATTTTTCAGTTAGCATTTTCTCAGTGTTTGAGAAAGCCAGTCTTTACCCTGGCATCCTTTGTTCTGTCCCCGCCTAAGCGTTAGTAGGTGGGTTTTCATACTGCCTTTTGTTTTCTACCCAGGATGTTCCCTTTTAAGGCGAACCCTTCCTGCACCACATGACGTGGCCTCTATAGTGCAGTGGTAGAGCACCGGTTTATCAATGCGGTGGTTGCGGGTTCGAGACCCGGTCGTGGGTTAATATATTATTTCAATCATACCTTCCAATCACACATAAGCTTAGCGTTTGGGTTCTGCATTCCAAAACCCTGTGGTGGCTCACCCAGTTGGCCCCTGAAACACCACCCAGATGGCCTGTTCAAATCCCACCTCTGGCAAGCCACCTCATTACACATTGGGCTGTGAAGCAGTGGAAATTTTCTCTCTTTAGTAACAGAGCACCATCCAATACCTTTGGCATGAGTTGAAGTGCCATTTATGCTTGTAAAAAGTCTGGCTTGCAAAACTACACAACCATTTAATTCAATCCTCAAAGAGCAGGGACAGTACAACCCCTAATCCAGTCCTTCAACAGTAGAGACGTCCCAATCCCTAACCTACTCCCCCAACAGAAGATTCATTATAACCTCTAACCTCAAATAGCAGAGACACCCCAACCCCTAACCCAGTCCTCCAACAGAAAGATCGTCAAAAGCCCTAACCCAGTACTCAAAAGACAAAGACAATCTAATCCCAACCTAATTCTCAAGGAACAGGCTCATCCTAACCCTTAACCCTCTGGGGTCCATGAACTCACCCACACATCAAATTCAATGTTTCTATATGCAGTGATACAGCACAGAAATACAGTTCAAACATTTACTGAATCTGTAGAGTCACCCTTTCCATTCCATCTTATCATGAGATCATATGAGACTCACATCCAGAGTTATGAGGCTATGAAGAGGGGTTGAGAAACATGTCATCTGCCTCTTGGTGCATTCATATTTCTGTCTACATTCTGTGTGAAACTGACCAATGGACACTCAGGAAATCACTAAGCACTGACCATCACACCAGAAACCCTTCGTTCTTCATTCAGTCCACATCAGAGACTCATGTGAAACGGCGTGCAGAGAGTTTACAGCTGCTGAAGTTGCTGCAGCAGTTTTGGAAAGTAGTGATGAAGATAACGGAGCGTTTTGATATGAACCATATGAGGATCATGATATATGAAGAGCCTTTAAAGGAGAATTTAAGAAGATACAAACAAACCGACAAGATGACCTCGGATCACAGAGGGTTAATCAATTGCTCAATAGTCAGGAACTTACTGACCTTATCTCAGTGCTCAAACAGCAGGGTTGCAAACGCCAGTGCAGTCTCCCTCTGTCTAAGCAATATGGTCAAAGAGCAAGGCCATCAGAACCACGGTGGCAAACGGGCATTTGCCCCAACACTTTTCACAGTACTGTGGCGACGCCCCACCTGTTTTTGCGTTCAGTTCACGCACATAAAAACCTGACGGAATGAAGTGCTGACTAGCATGGACAGACATAGTGAAACTGAGCGGCAGAGCCAGTCAGAATCTTCATTTCAGCTGGGAGGCACTTTTAGACCTGCCATGGTTGGTGCAGACCTGTCCAACTTTTTTCTGTAGTTCAGTTTTGTCATGCGACTTCGCACCAAACAACGGAACCACGCTGATTCTCGAGAGAATTCAACACTAGAGCACATTTTTTTTCACTGCACATTTTCCCTGCACTGTCTACACAATCTGCTGCTTTAACATTTCACTCTTTACAAGCGCTCATAGCGTTCCTGCACTGCGAGCTGCTGTAGATAACGAGAGAGAAGCAATAAAATAATAATATGCGTTAGATTTTGGTACATGGACTGTGGAGCGTCTTTTTAGCCAAGCATCAGCGACCTAATCGATTAAATTGAAACTGGTATATACAAAGACGTTAAGTGTATCTATTTTCTGTTTTTCTGTTTTCATGGTGGTGAATATGAGAGTAACAGAGCACTTGCATCCCTGCAAAACTGCAGATCAATAAACAAACATCCTCGTGTGTATTTTAGTCCACTTTAGCCCTTGCAGTCCACCATCCACTTACACACTTTGAAATAAAAGGAGTATGATTTAAAAAAAATATTCCATTAGTATCTTAGTAAAGTACATGTACCTGAGCACATGTAACTAGTTATTACCCACCTCTGAGTAGGTTTATAAAGACATGTTCTTAGCATGACATGAAAGGCAAATTTAGTCAGTGGCCTAATTGCATTTCGTAACTCAGCCAGTGGCTTTTTTTTTTTTTAAACAATATGTTTCGCCCCACCACTTCATGGAGACATGAGACTAAACCCTGCTTAAAAGATCTAATTTTGTGTTTATTTTTATTTAGGGCCTGCTAGGTTTTCCAGGCAGTCGAGGGCCGGACGGGATTCATGGTGCCCCTGTAAGTTAGCTACATATTGGAGATTCTCTGGTAAATGGGCACATCATACTATAGAAGCTAAGTAAAGTTCCATTGCTTTTCAGGGACCCACAGGACCACCAGGACCCAATGGAGAAGCTGGTCCTTCAGGTGCAAAAGTAAATAACAGACAGTGTTTGTGTAGAAAAGTTGTTTTCTTTTTCATGAGACATTCACAATAAAATGTCAGGCCATAATGACTGAGGATTATGCATAACTAATTCTATGATGTTCTAGGTTTATATGCCACACATTTTCTCTGTTTGTCCAAGCAGGGTTTACATGGAAAGCCTGGTGATCCGGGTGTCCAAGGTCCTGTGGGAAAAAGAGTGAGGATTTTATTCACCGTTATCCTTTTATCAAAAAGTCTTCATCAAAAAACTTCAGGACAAATGTTTACATACCAATGTAATTCTTAACAAAGCTGAGTTTCACTAATATGATGCTGGGTTTTAAAATTTGTAAAAGTTCTGCATGAAAAGTGACTATTTTTAATTTTTTGTTTTTTTGCAGGGGGATCCTGGAATTAGGGGACTTACTGGTGAACCTGGAAAGCCTGGAGTAAAGGTAAATATTGCCATGAAAACAATGTTAAAGTACTTTAATACTGTAAAGCAGCTGTGCCTGAATCTCTTCAGCCATGATTTTACATATCTGGCACTTGTTCCTGAATGCTGCAATTATCTGGGCCTTATAAAAGAAACATCTGTACTCATCTGTCAAATATTAAATGTTTAGTTATGATTACAATTTCAGTTAGTATCTTATTTAGGACAGAAGCTGTTATAGAATAACATGTCCAAACTCATAACATATCTTACCTCTGGATAGGAAACAGTATTACAGAACCATCATGACTCGCCAAAATAATCCTAAATACTGTCCTAACTTTTAAGACAAATGGTAATGTATATTGTATTGTAAGAGTGTTACTCAGTTCATAAATATAAATCGACTTCAGTTGAGTAGCTTAGGATTTCCAAGCTTGAGATACAATAGGATAGAAAGTTTCTATAATACAAAAATAATAGAAAAAAAGTAATCCAGAAGTGTTGTGGCCCAAACTGTTGCATCCTTTTTCATCAAAACCTCCGCTTGCAGCTTGATTTGCTACTAGTTTTCTGCACTCTTGTATTGCAGCACATGTTTAAGGTCAAAATGTACTCCTTAGTAGCTTTAGGTTATGCTAACATGTAGGCAAACATATGTGTTTTCCTCAGGGCATCAAAGGCAGAGAAGGAACAAAGGGGCTTCCCGGCAGCCCAGGACAGAAGGTTAGTAGTGCATGTTTTTTTTTCTGGAGATATTATAATATTTCAAGTTGAGAAGTTAAAATGTGGAGTTCATTAACCTTATTCACAGAATGTCTAGTCTTTGTGGGTCAGAGTTCAGTATGTTGCTGATTTCCCATGTCTTAAACTTCTGGCTGGCACACATTAATATAATATCTGAATTAATCAAGGAGTTTAATCAGATACATTTTTGCAGGGAAATGTGTGCTGGACTGTGGCCCTACTGGAGCCAGAGGGAACGCATTAACACAACACAAATATTTTAGATCTCACTTATGAATTAATGTCTTACCAGGGTGGTCATATGAGTAACAGGGTTCACATAAACCTTAAAGTGGAAATCAAGTGATTTCCATAGAGAATAGTTTCAGATTTTCACCACCGATGTCCAGTGAGAGCAACAGTGGCTACATGTTCTAGCCAATGAGTGTATATATCTTACATATCAGGTAAACAGATATTACATATCAGGTATATCAGACCCAAATGTGTGTATGTGTGTGTGTGTATATATATATATATATATATATATATATATATATATATATATGGTATACAGCCTGAATTTGGTATAAAGCTGTATTTGAATGAAAGCTCTACCATTGTGGATCAGAATAATATACAACATGCTGCAGCTGAGCTTTAGCCTCCACTACTACAGATGGGTCAAAGAGTCTAACTAGGAAAATGCATTACACTGTTTACAGAGTTAGTGGTGTTAATAATTTATCATCATAATGCATTATTAATATGTTACCTTTCAGCTCATAGATCCATCCTTCAATTTATATATGTAACCATTTATCTGTGTCTTCATTTGTGTTCCATACCTCACATGTTCTTGCAGGGAATTCGAGGGCCAGATGGTCCTAAAGGGAAACCTGGTCGTCCAGTAAGTACTGAATTTAATTTAGTTTAGTTAATTTAGTTTTAATTTAGTTAAAAAATTGTTTCTGGCACATGTTTATTTTCACATAGAAGGAATCAGGTTAGATACTTAACCTTACTGAATGGTGCACTGATTGCAACACAGCTGTTTCACCCTAGAGCTTTTCATACATGATACAGTAAACTGTGCCCACCAGGACAGAATTACTAATATAAAGTAACGCATTGATTTCATAGGTATTCATCTCTGTAACAATGACATTTGCTCTCCGCAGGGGCCCCGAGGCGTTCCGGGACAGAAAGGTTACCGAGGACCACCTGTAAGAATTCATTGAACACTGTACTCTTAATTATTCAATTATGTTCCAATCCATGTTAATGTTTACACTATTTCACAGGGTATAGAAGGAAACATAGGTCCATGGGGTGAGACTGGAAGTCAGGGACCACCAGGAGACCCAGGGCCTCAAGGGTCAGCGGGGCCCATGGGGGTGCCCGGTTACCCTGTACGGTTTATTTATTCACTGGATTTACTGTTTTTCATAGATCTGGGAAAACATCCTGTCATTGCATCCATGCTGATGTCATTATATCTTTAATTTTCTCATTCAGGGTAAGGATGGGCCATCAGGAGCTACTGGACTTCAAGGAGACAAAGGTGACAAGGTCAGTTAATCATATCTCAGTTGGCTCTGTTCACCTGCCTGTATGTATTTTCCCCAGGTTATGGTCCTATATGATACGATTGTGAATGTGTTTGTTTTTTTATTTTATGCAGGGGTTTAAAGGAGTAGCTGGATTGAGGGGAGTTGCTGGTGTCGATGGTGAGGAGGTAGATTATTTATACTGTGTTGATACCATTGGTGAAGTTGTGCAATGTTCCGGTGTTCGAATATAACATTAGAAAGAACTTAGCTCTAACTGGGGCATTAAATGAAGAGCTTCCTTACTTCCACTGATGTTCAGAGTCGTGTTATTTTAGGGCAGAATGGGCGAGAATGGACCAGTTGGGCCTGCAGGACTTAAAGGACTGTCTGTAAGTATTCATTCATTCACTACTTTGAGATTAGACTTCTGTCTGATTAATGTTCTCTAAATTGGGTTAGTAATTAGTTTACAGTTTGATTGATAGAGTATATGCAGGTCGTAATAAAGCCATGTCCAGCATTGTGAGCATTCTCCACAAGGGGGAGCACTCAAATCACTTTGCGTCACTGAGAGAGAGGAAACCCACACCAGCAGGATATCACAAATGCATGTATGTAGCTTGTGGTCATAGAACGTGTACATGTATATGACATAAAGTTAAATGTTTGCTGTTCAAAGTAAAATGGGCTTTCTTTTAATTTTTTTAGAGATTTTTTTTTTTTTAGAGATTTTTTATTTGATTTTGTTTCTTCTAATACTGATACAAATAATCTGGAAAATGTGTAAAACATGGAAAAAAAATGTTTTAGTGATGACTTCAGCCCAAGAAAGTGCCCAAGAAACCCTTTTTGAAAACTGCAGTACTGACTGGAGGGTTTGTCTGTCTTTACACTGACCTACTGTCAGTCACATAAGACACTCCCCTATATCACATCACTCTGCCCCCGTCTCTGTCTGTTCAGCTCCGAAAACATGGTGGAATCCAGTTAGCAATTACCACAGGTTCTAGTACCGCGGGGGGGAAAAAGCAAGCTGTGCTGCCAAAAACATAACGACATAAGGCAATAAACAAGAATCAACACTGGAGGAACTTTTCAAAGATGGAGTTATTACATATGAAGGGGATAATGTTGACACAGCATTAGCGATGTTCTTCCTGGAAAGTTGGTTTCTCATTCAAACTTTCCATTCCACCTTAAAAGCTGCTATAGAGGTGATATTTTACTGGAAAACTTGTGGGATCTAATTACAAAGAAAAACAAGACAGCAAAGGCTCTCTTAACTATTCTTGAGCAGCAAATCATCATACACAAATGGTAAGTGTACATGAGCTTGTTACTTTAAAATCGCCTCGGACAAAAGAGACACGGGACTTCGACGCTCGTTCTGGCCAAGCAGTCTGAAGAAGGACTTGGATAGAATGATGAGATGAAATGTGTCTCTGAATAAGTGACATGTAATGGTTATCATAATGGACCAAAGAGAATAAATGATTGCTTTGCCGTGGGAAGAACAGTATAGAAGGTGTTCACAAAACCCAGAAAAAGTGTCTCACTGCCATATTGTTGACATTCTATAGCATAATGTATGTATGAACAGTCAACGCTGGCTATGGCTTCCAAATCAAGACATCAAGAAAATCTTTGAGTCCTGATTATGCATTATTGCCTGTGATAACATATAAGCTACGTTTGCATTTCAAGCCTCATTTCTCAAATCCGATTTCTTGCTCAAATCTGATCTCTCTGACAGGATGGTTCACACTCGTTTATGTAAGTGACTCAAATCTGTCATTAATGTGATTAACCGGTGTCCTGAAATGACCCTCATGAACACATCCTACTCAGTAACGTCACGCGAATGAATCACGTGCATCATCAGCACAAACTAACGAGCAGAACGAGCTTTGCTGAGAAGATCATTAACTCTGATCAGCTCTCAGCTTCATTATTAGAGCGAGACGAAGGAGAAAAAGGTGAGATGAGCTGCTTTTCCACCGTTTACAGGCTTTAACTTCTGTTCGGCGCTGCTGCCATGGTAACACTGAATGATGGAGTGATGGAACAGTGGAGAAAAAGCACATGAATTCCAATCGGAGCTTCACTTTCACACGAATCAGATACGTATCCGATCTAGGACCACATATGAAAGTGGCTCAGGTCGGAGTTTAAAAAGATCAGATTTGTGTCCACACAGCTCTGGAACATCAGATCCGAGTCACATTAGGGCAAAAAATCTGATTTGTGCCACTTCAGCCTGGTAATGTGAACGTAGCCATAGTCTATAAAGATCTATAGATGTCTATAATTACCTTTTAAATGCTGCATCTGTGTACATCACAGGAGATAAACGCTTACATCAAATGGCGCATATCATGATTATTTTATCTGTGGAGAAGTCAGTCACACCATCAAACGTCATCATGATCACAAAAGTGAGTCGTATCTGTGTTTGGTGTTGATGTTAGCTTAAGTCACGTGGGCCCTGCCAGTGTATTAACTGTCTCTCAACTCATTATTTAGATAAAGCAAAAGAGATCTTGCCCTAAATAGTTAGATTGCATAAGTCAGTCATCAGTCAATGTCAACTGTCAATCATGAACAATTCTCAACTCTTGAACACAATCAAGGTCAAAACTACAGAATTCATCCTTCACCTAACGGTGGACCTGTGACAGACTGATGGGAGGAGACTTTGGTAACGTTATGGGGAGATGCTGAGAGCTTCTCCTGTTTATTCTCGCTATCCAAAGATTTCTTCTTGGCTGGCTCAACTCTTCAGCCTCTTTCCCCTTGGGCAACTAGGATGCTATAAAAGCTACACCGGTTTATTTTTTGTTGCTGTTGTTATTATAACCATGGCTCTATGACCACTGATGTCGTTGCTGGTTTGATCGGTGCTATGTCAACAATATGGGGGCACTGACCAATTTGACGTCAAGCAACATTAGTAATGCCATACTTTTATCATCTGTATTTAAATAGTGAAGTAAAGCAACACACTTAATAAACAGCCAACCTCATAGCTAGAAAGTGAAGTCATGACAAAGCTCATTAATGCTGGCAAACTCTCAATGAACCCAATGCTGGTCATCGTTGATTCTACGGCCATGCTTAGTGTTGATGGGTAGGAATAGGAAGTGGATCCCAATCACTGGAGTAATTGTGTATCTTCAATTTTGACTCATGCGCCTTTATTAAGTATGAAATCTTTAAAAGGCCCTGCATAGTGTGTCACTGTTCAGTTAATCCTATTTTACTGTTTGGCCTTAAAAAGGAACAGATGACGGACACTGCTTTTACTAAACTGGGCCATGTGTGTCGTAGGGTGAGAAGGGAAGTCCTGGACCACCGGGTGTTCGTGGACCAAAAGGAGTCAGCGGAGCCAGAGGCCTTAAAGGACCGCCGGGAATAAAGGGCTCTGCTGGACAAGAAGTGTGTAGGACTTTCGGCAGAAAGTACAGTAATACATTCAAAGGTTCTGTACAGTACTGTCCAGTATTTCCCTGCAGCACATGAATGTATCTGACTAGCTTTAGGTTTTAGAGCGAGGGCTTAGGTTTAAGAGGAGTGGTGTCTGAAAAGGGGGGATTAGGCTTTATGGGTTTAAGTTTAGGGTTAGACTTAAGCTGAGATAGAAGTGAATGTGTTGGTGTTTTAGGGACAGAGTGGCTCTCCTGGACAGAAAGGACACCCTGGACCTCCTGGAGAAAAAGTAAGTTTTAAATATTCACACCCACATTAGTAACTAATAAAGAAGCCCATTTATTTGTCTCCTACAATAACCTATGTGTGTGTGCACAGGGTCAGCCTGGAGCCAGAGGCCGTTCAGGTTTGGCAGGAAAATATGGTCCAGGGGGCAACATCGGGGCAGGGGGAGAAAAAGGTGCCAAAGGTGAAGATGGACTTACTGTGAGTAACCACACTTTCTGCTATACGTTGTACACTGTCCACTACACAATACGCACTGTTGACTACATATTACATTCTGTGCACTATACGTTAAGCACGGGCCAAAATATGCATTACCTACTGTCCACTATGCATTATGCACTGTACACTATACGTTATGCACTGTTCACTATACATTACCCACTGTACACTATATATTACCCACTGTCCTCTAAACATTACAATCTGCTGTCATGCACTGTGCACTATACATTACCCACTGTGCACTATACAGTGTCCATTATACATTATGCACTGTGCACTTAACATTACCAACTGCACGCTATACATTACCCATGTAATTGGTGTATTAAAGCACTACACATTATGCATTCTTCACTATACATTACACACTGTACATTATTATCCACTGTCCTTTAAACATTACAGTCTGCAGTCCACTGTACATCATGCACTGTCCATTATACATTACACACTGTACACTATACCTTACACACTGTCCAATATACATCATGAACTGTGCACTATACATTACACACTGTCCAATATACATCATGAACTGTGCACTATACATTACACACTGTCCAATATACATCATGCTCTGTGTATATTACACACTGTACATTTTACATTACACACTGTCCAATATACACCATGAACTTTGCACTATACATTACACACTGTCCAATATACATTACACACTGTCCAATATACATCATGAACTGTGCACTATACATTACACAGCGTACACTATACATTACACACTGTCCAATATACACCATGAACTTTGCACTATACATTACACACTGTCCAATATACATTACACACTGTCCAATATACATCATGAACTGTGCACTATACATTACACAGCGTACACTATACATTACACACTGTCCAATATACACCATGCTCTGTGTACATTACCTACTGTACACTATACATTACACACTGTCCAATATACACCATGAACTGTGCACTATACATTACACACTGTCCAATATACATCATGCTCTGTGTACATTACACACTGTCCAATATACACCATGCTCTGTGCGCTATGCATTACCCACTGTATACTATACATTACACATTGTCCAATATACGTTAAGCACTGTCCACTATACATTACGCTCTGTTCACTATGCTTTACATGCTGTCTTCTAAACATTACACACTATTCACTGTCCACTATACATTACACAGCGTGCACAATACAATACACGCTGTCGAATACACATTACGCAGTA